GCAAGGTCCTGCCATGGGCTGGGACAATCCCAAGCACAAACACAGGCTGGATAAAGAATGAGTGGAGATCAGCCCTGGAGAGAGGGATTTGGGAACTTTGATGTGGGATGAGAAACTTGATGTGCCCCAGCCCTGTGAATGAAGCAGCTTGGCTGTACCCATTGCAGGGCTCCCCTGGGAATCCTGGTGAGGCTTTCCTTGACCCCCTGTTTTGGGAAACCTCTGTGTGGTGGCACAGCTTTCCCTGCTCCAGCTCTGCAGGCTGGAACATGTGTTTAACAACAAACCCTCGCAGACATCATTTGGGACTGTCTTTAGCTCGCTCTTAAAGATATTTAAAGACTTTGCTTTGTTTTAAGACTTCTGATCTTCCTGTAAGCTCAGCCTCTTCAACTTTTACAATTTATTGGGACTTGGTTTCAGCTGTGTAAGGCCACTGGTTGCTTTTGGTCTGGATTTTTGTGCTGGGAGCCAGCTAATGGGTCATCCTTTGGGACATTGGGGTATTTGTGATTATTTTTAGCCTTTAATTGGCAGTGATCTGTACTTGGAGCTTCAGAGTGTCAAGGGCTTTTCTCTTTGTGCTCTGAAGATGCTTTCCTTTCTCTTTCATCTGGATGCAGCTGTGTTTCCCTTCTGCTCACAAAGTGCAGAGCACATGGGGAAACCAGCTCCAAGAACCATCCCAAAGGCTGGTGAGGCTCAGGGAGCAGCACTGGGGATGGCAGGTGCTGCAGGACACCTGAGCAGCACCATGGACCTGCTCCCTGACCTTCACCAGCCACTTCCCTGCTCCAGGCCACTATTTTTTCCCCTCTTCTTCCCCTCTTTTGTCTTGCCCCGTTTATCTGTAACCTCCTTCGGGCAGGAACACGGTGTGTGTGTTCATATAAAGGGCTGAGAACAATGTGCCCCAGATGGTTTGTACAAGTGCCTTCTCGGCAGCCACGGGGTTTCATTTTGCAGGAAAGAAATTCTTAAAAATACAACTCTTCAGCATCTTATACTTGCAAATGTGGGCAGGAACTTCCCGAGCCTTGATATTTTGGTCCTAGTCACAGAGACAAGGGGTAGCACTAGAACTGCAGCTTTTCTTTTAAGGAAAAAAACAACTCCCCCCAACCCCAATTCCCCTTTTCTCACCCTTTCATCTGAAGTAAGCCACTAGAGTGGCTCTGACCTGCTTAAAACCAGATGGCAAAGAAAAAGGACCCAGTATTTCAAGAAAAGCACTATGATCTCCCTCTTTGGGAATCAGAGGGTGTGTGGGCTTGCCCCTTTTTATGGCACTTTCGGTGCTTCTGAGGTTCTGTTTTGGGGGTGCTGAGACACTTGCCTGCAGTTTGTTTCCCTTCCAGGATCCCTGGCTTGGAGCACTGGCACTGCAAGCACCACAGGGCACTGCTTATTTGCTTTAAGACCACAGCTTGCTTTGGAATTTCTTCTGCCAAACTTCAGGCCAATTCATTTTTTTTTCTTTATTTATCCCACTCCCTCCTAAAGAGAGAAACGAGTTTTCTTAGTCTCATCTTGCATCAGATTTGATTCCAGGCCAGCAAATCAAGCCTAGAAGGTGCTTTCCGGAGGCTGCTTGCCTCACTGTGACCTTTTGGGAGAGGATTCCTGTGCAAAATGGAAGGATGTGACATCAATTTTATCCATGGAATCTTCCCCCATGGTGCTGCTGCCTGGGGAGGATGGGTCAGGTCTGGGTCCCTGTTGCCTGTCCAAAGGCTGCTGTGTTTTAACAAACACAGGGGGTTTTTTGCTCCAGAGCAGTGGGAGTTCTGGGATTTTACCAAAAGTTTCTGTTTCTAATTAGGTTGTTCTCAGTTTTAAAGGCCAGTGATCCCTTTATGGCACAGGGTGGAAAACCTGAGCAGTCACTGACACTGCACAAAGGTGGGTCCTGCTTTTGTCCCGAGGTCCAGGGAGCCACTGTGTCTTCTTGGCAGTCCTGGGATGAGGAAATAAATTCCTCCCAGCCCTTGGCTCACCCACGGGGGAGGCTGGTGGGCAGAGTGTGAGGGAGCATCACTTGCCCTGGCCTGAATCACAGGGATGTGGTTCAGGGATTTCCTGCTGCTCTGACCGCCCGGCTTGGGAAAGGGGGGATTGCAGGATGGCAGTCCCAGCGTGGGGGGCTGGGCTGTGGCCACGCTGGGTGAGAATCTGGCCTGAAATTGGGGTTTGGAGTTGGGCCTCTCCATGAAGGCTGCTCCTGCAGGCAGGACCAGAGTTGTGCTGTGCTGATCCCTGCGTTTGTCTGGGCTGGGAGAAGGCAGCACAGTCCCCCTGTGCTCACAGGAAACAGGATTTAATTTTTCCCTTCTGTCTCACTTCATTGTCTGAAATTCCCTAGCAGAGGCTGGCCCATAACTCTTCAAAGAAAATAATCCCGGGCACCGGGGCTGGAGCTCCCTCGGCTCTGGCTGTCGGCCGCCTGACTCTGTGCAAACAGTCTGGGCCTGGAATCCCCTGGGACTGAGCATAAAGGTCTGATTCAGAAGGAAAACAGGTTATGGAGCAGCAGGGCCTGTGCATCACCTCCTGCTCCCCTCTCCCAGTGTGTGGCTGGAGCCGTGTCCAGGGACAGCAGCTCCCAAACGCCAGGCGAGAGCTGCCTGCTCTGGGAGCTGGGAGGCTGTGGGGGAATGGCTCCCGGTGTCTGTGGAGGTGGGAGAAGCATGAGGAGGTCGGGAGGGCAGCACCATGTGCTGAACCAGAGCGGAAATTATTGGGGGAGCGAAGAATGAGCAGGATATCACGTGTGGGCCGTGCGCGCTCGGGGCTGGGGCAGAACAAAGCGCAGGGAAACCCTGCTCCTGCCGCTCCCACCCTGCTTCCTGCTGGCACGGACATGCTGCTGGGGGAAGGGAGCATCAGGGCAGAAGCCAGCCCGTGGCTGCCCACCTTTGGGAGAGCTGGAAGACTCCCTGTGCCTCAGTTTCCCTCGGCTGAGGTGTGCTGGTTGAAGCAGGATGGTCCCCAGTTGTTGGTGTGCTGGAGGTGGCCTTGGAGGGCCAGGCTGCTCTGCTCTCGGGATGCTTCAGAGGTGTTGGATAGAGGCTGGAGCCTGTGGGGGCAGGAGGGGGCTCCCATGATGCATGAAAGACTTATTCTCCTGTGCTTGAACAGGCAGTGGGACCCCTGCACTCTGCGCCTTTGGAGCTGCTCTGGTCCCTCCTGGAGAGCGGTGGCAGTGTGCCAGGATGCTGTGGAGAGGTCCGGAGGGGGCTGGGAGCAGGAAAGCTGTAGGTGGGGGGCCCTGGACCCTTACACAGCCAGTCCTTCCCCCTGCTGAGCTCTGGAAGGTGTCTTTTTCCCTGAGTTGCTCTTAGAGCTCCCACATTTCCCTCTGTGCACCCTTGAGCACGAGAAACTTTTTTTTTTTGTTATTAATAGCTGTTGAGAGCCAATAAAAAGTTTTCCAGGGTTTGGCCAAGTATCAGAGCTTGCAGTGTGTTCATTTCCTGGAGCCCAGCGCTGGAGGGGGGGTTTGCTTGGATAACCCACGGGGTCAGCAGGAGTCTGTGGCACTGGGGGTTCCTGGGAGGCTTTCAGATGTCACAGGGGCCTCCAGAGCCACAGAGGGAGGTGGGGAGAGTGGGGGGGAAATGGAGATGTGGGTCTCTCACATGCCCTCCCAGTGTGTGCCCAGATCCATCTTGACCCCCTCTGTCTGGGTTTAGCTTCCTGACTGTCCTTCCTGCCTCCCACACGGGCATCCCTGTGAGGAGGGACCCAGCCTGACCTTCCCCCAGTGCAGGGGAGTCCCATTCTGGAGGAATGCTGGAGGGAGGGAGAGCGCAGATCCTTCTTGGGCCCCTTGAGCACAGAGCATGTCAGTGGTTCTTTTCATCCCACTCTTGTGTCCAGAAGGAAGCAAGGGATTGGTCTGGCCTTGATGTTGTGCTGCTGTACCCACGTAAGGACAGACAGCTGCACAGGGATGTGTGTGGAGCCAGTGTCATGGAATCATGGAGTAGTTTGGGTTGGAGGGACCTTTAAAGGTCACCTCATTCAGCCCCTGCCATGAGCAGGGCTGTGCACACAGGAAGGAGCTCCTTGGTTCGGGGGCTGAGCTGATTCCTGCCTGTTTGTGGGAGCCGAGGGGAATCTGGATAACCCCACCAGCAGCACGGGGCCTTTCCAGCAGCCTCACTGGGAGCACATGAGGCGTGAAAGGTGCTGCACCCCTGAGCAAACAAGCTTCCACGAGCATAATTTGCTCTGGCAAGTGTCACAGCATTGGCCCAGGCTGCAGCCAAGGGGCCTCACTCCCAGCTTTGCAATTAAAATCTAGGTTGGTTGATAAGAGCAGAGGAAGAGGCAGTGGGATGTTAGTAAGTTCCTGTTTGCCAAGTGGGTGTTTTCCCCCAGCCCAGGTGGGCTGTGGTGGGTGACCTGAGTGTGGCTGTTCCCCAGGAGCCGTGTCCTGGGCAGGGCTGCTGGCACAAGATCCCGACCCTCCACAGTGGAGGCTGCTGCTGGAGTGGGAAATGCTCCAACTCCACTGGCCCCAGCCCCTGGATCCACAGGGACCCTCCCAGCCAGGTGAAATAATTTTCATTGCATGGGCAGCCCCATGCCTGACATGGTGTGCCCATAATGCTGGATTCACATGTGTCCTGTGCTCCTGAGGGGCTCTCAGAGTCCCTGGCTGGTGCCTCCAAACGCTTCCAGAAGCTGCCAGCAGCTCTTCCCCATGGGAACAGTTTTGCCCCCACATCCCTCTTAGCTGGCTTGAACATGGAGACACTCGTCAACCATTTCACCTCTGACTGACCAAACTTTATTAAAATTAATTTGTCTGTTTATTTAAAGCACCATCTCAGGCATGGAGCACTCTGGAACCTGATTTTTATCCCAGCTCCTCCCAGCAGCACTGTCATTGCAGCAGGAATTACCTGTGTGCAGGGAAGGGGCTCTGTGGAGCTGGGGGCAGGAACCCAGAGCCCACAACTCTGTTGTCCTCTGCCACCTCATACTGATTTTCTCCCTCTTGTTTTTCACAGCTGGGAGACGGAGGAGCTGCGCTGGGAGGACCCTGTCTGCAGGATGTTCTCTCCACCAAAGAACTCCCTGTGACCGGCGATGATGACAGTCCCGGCGGGACCTTGGGGAGCGCTAACATTTCAGTAGCCCAGCACCCGTGGACGGCCACTTTCCCCTCCTTCTCCAGACCCCGCCCTCCCACCGCTCACCGGGATGGTGTATTAACCAAGAGGAACCCTGCTTCTTTCCTCCTCACCCTTCCATTTTCGGCAGCTCTGGGATTTGTATGGCAGCAGCGTAACCGTGGAGAGGCCGGGGTATCACAAACTTATGGATTTTGATAAGAGAGGAGGGAAAGGGGAGCTGGAGGAAGGTAAAAGGATGTCCAAGACAGGTGGAGGAAGGAGTGGTCATGGAGGCCGGGGTGCTGGAACCAACTCGGGAGTCTTAATGGTGGGTCCCAACTTCCGTGTCGGCAAGAAGATTGGATGCGGCAATTTCGGGGAGCTCCGTCTAGGTGAGAAGGGTCATCTTTGTCCTCACTGTACTCACTTGTGCCAGGATTGCCCTGGCATCCTCCTCCTGCAGCGGGAGGAGCTGGCACAGGCTGTGGCCATGGGCACTGGGGTGCTGACCGGCCACCCAGAGTTGAAGGGTTGCCCCTTGCAGGTAGCTCCTGTTCTGCCACAGAGGATCCGCTTCCTTAATCCTTTCACACTGTGCTTGATCTACCAAGGCCCATCCCAGCCCAAAGGACTGATTGCAGAGGTGTTTCCCATCTCCTCCCCATGCCTGTCGCTCTCTGGGTCTGTCAGGGAGAGCCCTACAGTCTGGGTCTCTCTGTTGTAAGAGGTTGTGGCCATGGAGATCTGGGTGTCCCCCAAATCCAGGAACACTGAGTGAGGAAGGATTTGGGAGATGTCACTGTGTGCTCACCAGATCTCACCCTGCTTGTGCTCTGGGTGCTGCCCTCCCACTGTGCCTTGCGACAGGGGAAGGAACATGGGGGCTTGAGGGATGTTCACTCTGCTGGGACAAACATCTAGGGAGGACAATCCATGTTTTATCCTGGGTAAAGTCTTTGGTTGTTGAAACTGGTTCTTTGCGAGATTCTCCTGAAATTCTGTGCAGGACAGAGAAAGGGAGGAATAAAACCCAAGCATTTTCCATGGTTGCTTTCCATTTTGAACCAAATTTATCAGGAAACTCATCAAGCAAACTCCTGTTTATAGGGTGGGGAGGTTGCTCCTCTCCCAGGACTGGGAATGTCCCTGGAGACTTTCAGCAAGCTGTTAACCCTTTGCTTGGCATCGGGCAGCTGGGAATGGTCTGGCAGGGCCAGGCACCTCTGTGCCAGCAGTCTGGATGTCTCCAGGAACGCGCATTGGACGCATTGGGTGGAGTCCCTGCCAGCTGTAGTGCTGTCCTTGGCTGTGAGTGTTTTGGGAAGGGGCTTGTGCTCTGGAAGAGGGAGGAGAGGCGGTCCCCAGAGCCTGTGACAGCCACAAGCTGAGTTGCTCTGTGATATTTTAAGCAGCGCCTTCTCAAACCAAGCTCTGAGCTAAACCTGCCCTGAGCTCTGAGCTAAACCTGCCCTGACCATGGGCCCAGGGAGGAGCTGTGGTCGCCCTGGCTCGGGTGGGGTCAGCTCCCACCTCCCTGAGTGGGGAGTTAATGTCAGCTCTTCCCAGCGTGACAGACTGGCTGGTGCCAGGCTCACCCATCCCGTCCCTGCACTTCCCGGCGGGATCGCTGTGTAATTGCAGAGCCAGGGAAATGCTCTGGTTAAAATCCAGCCAAGCAGTTCCTGTGTTCAGCTGTCTCCCAGTGTCATGAAGAGCTCTGAGCCTTCCTCCAGACCCAGGGCTTGTGGAAGGAGAGGTACTGGGGGATTTTGCCACACCAGCTGCTCCTTTCAGTTCCCTGTGTGGATCTGGACACTCCTGCTGCCAGTGCCTCCCTGCTTGGCAGGGAGAGAGAGCCCTGAGCTGAGCAGGGTCCACCTGTGTCCTTGCACCTCCTTTTCCTTGCTTGCCACTGAGCATTGCGCAGTGGATCTGTGTTCCTGGGTGAGCTGGATCCCAGGATCCTGCTCTAGGCAGGAGGCTGGGACTGTGCTGCTTTGCTGTGCTCAGTGCTGAGGGTCAGTGTGACCCCCCTGCCTTGGCCTCCCCCTCATTTCCCAGGGGCAGCAGCGAGGGGACATGAGTCTCACATGGATCTGAGGAATGTCTGTCAAACTGACAGTGAGGTTGCTGCAGGGACCTGGGAGCAGTTGGGCTCGGTTTGCTCGTGGCTGCAGGGACAAGCAGTGAGCTCTCGCTCCAGGGCTCCAGAGTGGTCGATTCTCACAGTGAGAGTTTGTCCTTGCCACCAGCAAGAGAAGCTTCCAGTCCTTTCACGTGGCTTTTTTGCTCTGTCAAAACCCTGCAGTGCCTGGCCATAACATGATACAGGCCTGAGCACGAGATCTCACCACAGCAGTGGAAGCCACAGCTATGTGGCTTCTCTCCTAAAATCACATCTCTCTTCCTTAGGTGTGTCTTCAAACTGCATCAGGGCTCAAGAATGCTTTCAGGATTTAGGGATTCCTCCAACTGCAAGTGAATGGCAAGGGACCAGAGGGCTCTTGCTTTGAAGTGGTGGCATGAGCAGGGATGTTCTCCAGCTTTTGCTGGGCACTGATTTTTCCTCTGGAAATAGAGAATTCAGTCCTCAAGGCTTTAGAGGCCAAACTGCAGCTCAGTATTTAAAAGCTCCCAGATCTTCTTTGGCCTTTTTCCTCTCGTATCAAAGTCCACAAGATCTTGAAAAAATATACCTGGAGGTGACACCTCCAGCTCCCAGTGGTGGGGATGGAGGAAGGGGACATTATCTTCCTCAAAAAGGTACCACTTTGTCCTATTTCTCCACCACACCGAGGGGCTCGTGGTGATCTGTCCTTAGGGTGCTTCAGCTCAGCTGCCCCACACAAATGTCCACCCATACAGGAGGTGTCCAAAACCACGTGATCTGTTTAAAGATGATATATAAAATCAATTGGCATAAGGCATTTGTGGGAAGCCAGAAGGGGAATGACGTAGGCAGGAGTTGTGGCTGCCAGGGCTGTGTGTTTGGATCCTGCATCTCCTTGTCCCTGCTGGCCTTGGTATCCTGGGCAATGGTGCCTGTCCCAGTCTGGCAGTGCTGCCAGCCAGCTCTGCACTGGAGCAGTGTGACTGGAGAGCTGGGCTGGGAGCTGGAGCGGGGTGGCTGCCCCAGCCCTCTGGCACAGAGGGACAGGTTTAAGTTGTGCAGGTGCTGGGCCCTATTACCTTCTTATGTCCTGTAGCTTGACCCTGAGCAGGTGAGTGCCCATCCCTCCCCCTGCCAGCCTCCAGCTGTGGTCCACAGCACCAGCCCAGCTCTTCCTGGGACTTTCCAACAGCATCCCAGGGCAGTGTCTGCTGTCTGCAGCCCCCTGAGCTCCCCCTACCCGTGTGCTGCCCATAGCCAGCCCCACTCCATGCCTGGATGGGACACTGCCCTCTGAAACACAAGGCAGCAGGGCACTGGTGGCAGTGGGTGACCAGAGTGTGGCTGGTGGCTCATGTGTCCTGGCACTGGGCACAGCCGAGCTGCAGCCCTGCCAGCTCCCTGCCAGCTCCCTGCACCCTGGCAGCGGGGCCAGCACACTCACAGAGAGGGTTTGTTGGAGCAGGCTCCCCTTAGCAGCTACTCAGGAGTGCTTGGGATGGGCCGGGGGTAGGGGCAGAGGAGGAGAACCCAGACATTAGGCAGAAAGGTCAAAACTGAGCCCAAAGGACCTGGGTGCTGTGCAGGTCCTTCCCTGGTGCAGGGCTGCCTCAGAGCCAGGAACTGCCCTTAGTCCTGGCACACTCCCTGAGGGCCCGTCCTGAGCCTGGCCCAAGGCTGGTGCTGCTGCCAGGCTGTGCCATGGAGCTGCCCCAAGGCAGCCTCAGCCTAGAGCAGGGAAGGACAGGGGGAGACCTGGAAGCAGCTGCTGCCTCTGTTCTTCCAGCAGTAAACTTCTGCAAATGTGCTTTTTGCAGCTTCTCAGTGCCCACCCCTCTCCCCCAGCCTGCTGCATGCATTACTGCTGGAGTCACAGCAGCTGTTTTCCTTCAAAATGAAAAGCTGGAATCTTTTAGTAATTATCTTTTAAAGTAAACTCGGGATTTGGGAGGGAAAAACACGGGGGGTGAGTCTGTGTGAGCCAGAAGCAGGTCACTGCCACAGCTGGGCCAGGGCCATGCCCCAGCTGAAGGGTCACATGCAGGTGCTGGGGACATTCCCAAGCTCTCCTGAGCCGTGGCTCTTGGGTCTGTCCTGCAGTCTCCCAGGAGCTCACAGGGAGTTACTTGGGGCCACAAAAGGTGCCTTCTGAAAATGTGGCTGCTTGTGACACCGTCTTGTCTTGGGCTCTGCAGAGACCTCCCTGTGAGCACCCGCAGTGTGGCCAGGGGCTCAGCCACCTCCCAGAGGTCAGAGCCACAGAGCCACCACAGGCCAGAGGTGGCACCACAAATGGGTGTCTTTGGAGGCTTTGGGAGAGAGGAACCCACACAATTCCTGCTGCTCCTGCCTCCCTTCTGAAGGCTCAGACTTGCTTTTCTCCCTGGATGTTCAGAGCCTCCTTTAGAGAAGATCAAGCTCTAAAATACCATTTTTCTTCTGATGGTGTTTAACCCCAGCACTCCACAGAGCTGTTGTTGCTTGGCCTGTCTCTGGAGCTGCAGGGCTGGGCCCGGTTGCCTTGTGTGAAGCTGCCTCATCCCCTGCTCCTCCACTGCATTCCCAGGTCTGGGAAGCCAAATTCCCATCCCGGTGCCCAGGCACAGCTCTGTGCTGCTGCTGCTGCTGCACGAAGGTTCCCAGCGTGGGCACAGTGCTGTGCCACAGACAAGGGCAGCCTCACTGCTCCCTTCTCCCCTCACAGCGAGGGGCTGGAGCATGTCCAGAGACATGAACAGAGCCGGGGAAGGTTCTGGAGCCCCAGGAGGGGCTGGGGGAGCTGGAAAGGGGCTCAGCCTGGAGCAAAGGAGGCTCAGGGGGCCCTTCTGGCTCTGCACAAGTCCCTGCCAGGAGGGGACAGCCGGGGGGGTCGGGCTCTGCTCCCAGGGAACAGGGACAGGAGGAGAGGGAACGGCCTCAGGCTGGGCCAGGGGAGGCTCAGGTTGAACATCAGGAGGAATTTCTTCAGGGAAAGGGTTGGGAAGCATTGGAACAGACTGCCCAGGGCAGGAGTGGAGTCACCACCCCTGCAAATGTTCAAAAACATGTGAATGTGGCACTTGAGGGTATGGGCTAATGTGAACATGGTGGTGCTGCTGGTTAACGATTGGAGTGGTGATCTGAAAGGTGTTTTCCCACCTTAATAATTCTGTGATTCCATGATTCCAAGCTGCTTGGATGGGGACCCAGCTGGGATCCCAGCACAGAGCCGGGCTGCTGTGACGTGCAGGAGCAGGTGCCGGTGCTGCTGCCAAATCCCTGGGGAGGGGACAGAGAGAGCCCGGCTTTAACACACCCCAGCCCCAGGCCTGGCTGCCTGCTCCTGCCTTTGGCCCTGTTCTGATCCCACACACCGCATCCTGCAGGTGCTGGCAGCTGCATCTGGAGGCACCTCTGGCACTGAGCCGGGCAGAGGCCCCTGCAGTGCAAATATTTGCTTTCTGCCGCCCATTTCACCACTTTTCTCTTTTATTTCCTTTCAAAAACACCTTTTGTGCTGCAAGTCCTGCCTGCTCTAGTCCTCCCAGGCACTCCCTGGACTCTCACTCATTTTGGGTGTCAAAATTGCCCCCTTGTGAGCACTGGGGAAGAGCAGGTGGCCCCAGGAGCTGGAGCGGGGAGTTCCTGGTGTGGAAGGAATCCTCCCTCCTTGCTCTTTTGCTTTTTCTTTTCTGTTGGTTTATTAATCCCATGACAGGCCAGTTCTGCTATTTGCACCTTTTTTAATTTGGAAAGGGGAAGTGGAGAGTGGTGATTTGACCAGCCCGTACTCTCTCTGCTCCCCACCTTGTCCATCAGCTGTGTCCATGCGCCCCAAGGAGCGGCTGAACCATGGAACTACCAAATGATTTGGACTCGTTTTTGGGCTGGGAGAATGGTGCCAGCTCCGGAATTGTTATTTTGTGTGCCAGGGAGCCACAGGCATCCTGTGTGGTGGGAACAGGACAGATGCCACTTCTGGGAATTCTCCTGCCTCCATCCCTTTTTCCTCCCAGCCCTGCTGGGGATGCTCCTGCCTCCGTCCCGAGTCCCTTTTGCAGTGTCCCTCTGGCTGTTTTCCTGCCATGTTATATTTTTCCCCCTTCAGATCCTGCCTGACCTCAGGGAAAATCCAGCTGTGAGTTTCCTGATCGCATGTTGCTGCCCTGAAGGCAACAGTAATTGTTTTGGACTGAACTGTACTGCCCTGTGGAGCCATGCACAGCTCTGGGGGCATCCCACCTGCTCCCCAGGAAATGTCCGTGCATGATGGGACAAACCCCTTGATCTGGCACACGCTGTGTTCACCAGACGTTCCTCCCTCCCTCCCAAATCCCCTCCTCCCTAATCGCTGTGAAGGGATTTGCTTTATGCAGAGGCAGCAGACAAAGTGGCTTGGCAGAGGTCCCCTGGGATGGGAGAGGGTCAGGGAGGCAGCAGGACTGAGCCCCTCCTCGGCTGCAGAGCCCATCCCTGGGAGGAGCTGCTCCATTAATATCTCCCATTCATCCCTCTTCCCGTAATCCTGCCGCCGACTGTGGCGCTCAGCAGCTGGCTCTGATGTCACCCGGCCAGGATTTATTGCTGCTTCAGGTGGAGAGCAGCAGTCGGAGCAGATGAAATCTTACGCCAGGAGGAGCTTGTTCCCTAAGTAAATTGCTTGGAGAAAATCCGAGGAGACAGATGCAGCTCCATCAGATACGCACATGCCAGGCAGGGATCGCTGGGATCGGAGTCTGCTGCCTCTGGAGGGAACCTGCTGCCCTTAACCCTCACCTGCCTGGGCTCCTGCAGGCTCTGGCACGGGGAACGCTCAGAGCTGTTCCTGCAGACCTTTGATCTTTGCCTTTATGGGTCTGGGCAGAGGTTGTGCTGATGCTTCCCATGTGTGTTCCCTTTTCCTCCTGGTTTTGGGGGGATGTGGAGGCATCCTGAGCTCAACCTTGCTGTGGTTATGGTGTGAAGTCCCGTGCAGGTGTGGAGCCCTGCGGGGATCCTGCTGGCTGCCACGGCTGCTCCTTCACTCCCCTGGGCTCCTCGTACAGTCTGGGCCGTGCCATGGATCTGCTCCTGGCTTCCCCTGTGCCCTTGGGCAGGCAGGAGCATCTCCAGGGGTGATGTTGATTCACACACAACACAAGCATGTGCCATTCCCAGGAGTGACCCCGACCGTGGGGGAGAGATTTCCACCTGCCTGTGGTGCCCTCAGACCACTGCTGGTCACCCCAGTGCTCCCGGGTGTCCTTCTCCCCTGCCACCCTCTGCAGGGTTCCACAGGCCATAACTCAATGTCCCCTGACTCTGGCCATCCCTCCGTAGCCCCCTCTCCCTGTGGGGCTGGGAGAGGCACTCAGTCTCAGCCTTGTCCCTGCCTTGCCCAGTCACGTCCCTGCTGCTGCCCCCTCCCCTCAGCCTTGGCTCCAGCCCCCAGGAGCCTCCCCATCGCAGAGGAATCCACATACCCCACCTGGGGATAATTAGCAGGCATGTTGCAACTCCCCACAATGGGTTTTGGTCCCACTTGTGCCTTGAGGCTCCTTCAGGTGTTGTGGGAGCGGCAGAACCTGTTCAGGATGTTTTTGAGCCCAGGAGCCCTCAGGGACAGCGGCGGGTGTGTGGTGGGGATGATGCAGGGACTGCTTTTCATCACCTTTTTGTGTCTCTCCCTGCAGGGAAGAATCTCTACACAAACGAATACGTAGCTATCAAATTGGTGAGTAGCTGTCAAACTGGAGACTTCTTGTATGGTGGGGTGGGGGATGTTCCAGGCATTGGGAAAGAGATTTCTCCCCCTCCCCCAGTGCTGGGGCAGGTGGAATGGGTTGGGATGTGATGGCTGGGTGGCTGCAGGGAGCTCTGTTCCCACTCAGAATTGAGGGCAGTCTGGGAACACACGTCACTGCAGGTGGGGTGATCCAGGTCTGGGCAGGGAAGAGCTGAATCTTTCTTCTCCCAGCCCTCTCCGTGGTCTGTGCTGTGCTCAGCCAGTGCCAGCAGCAGAGAGGGTGGCCCCACTGGTACCTGATCCCATTAATGTTTTCCCCTCTCAGGATGAGATGATCTGGCTCCCATATGGGCTGATTTTCTCTCATCATCCCCTGAGGCTTCATCTCCATTTTATACCAATTGCTCCCAGCCCCAAATGCTCTCAGTCCAGCTGCTGCCAGCATGTGAAGGAGGTGTTTGACACCCTGACCCCCTGAACATCCTGCTTCCTACTTAACTGTTCTCCTTTCTCTCCTCCAAGGAACCCATAAAATCTCGGGCCCCCCAGCTGCACCTGGAGTATCGGTTCTACAAACAGCTCGGCAATGCAGGTACGGGGCTGGGCTGAGCTGCCCTGGGGAGCTGCCTGCCAGGGGCACTGCTGGGAGAGAGGCTTTCCCTAAATGTGACTCTGCAACTTCACTCCCAGCTTGAGCTCCTGCCCATCTGCTCCGCAGGGAGAGGCTGGTTTTACACAGACGCCTCATCTCATCTTTGATCTCTTTTGATTTAGTTCTTTCCTCCCGCCGCCCCCGCAGCAGAGTCAGGGATGCAGATGGAGCTGCCTCCTTCCCCCTGCTGCCAAGAGCAGGCTGTGCAGGGAGGGCAGTGCAGGGACATCCCTCCTCTGCAGCCCCTGTCCCTGACAGGCAGTGGCGTGGCCCTGCTGCAGCCCTGCACAGCCCCTGCCCCATCTCTTGCAGAAGGAATTCCTCAGGTTTACTACTTTGGCCCCTGTGGGAAGTACAACGCCATGGTGTTGGAGCTGCTCGGACCCAGCCTGGAAGATCTCTTTGATCTGTGTGATCGGACCTTCACGCTCAAAACTGTCCTGATGATTGCAATCCAGCTGGTGAGTGCAGCCCCTCCACCTCCCCTGCACCCTGCACCCTGCACCCTGCCCGGGGAGCAGGGGATGTGTGGGCACCGTGGGCAGGCAGCATGGGCATCCCACGGGGAATGGGGAGAGGATGCTGGCACATCCCAGCCTGGTTCCATACCTCACCCTCTCCCTGCTGAGGGAGGGCTCTCCACCCCTTCACAGCCCCTCTCTGAGCCCAGACAAGCATCTCACTCTGTTCCCAGAGCATCTCACTGTGTGCCCAAGGTGCAGCTGGCTGGGGCTGTCTCCCGTGGTGGGAAGGAGCAGATGTGCCCGTCCTTGGGGCTGGGGCCAGTCTGAGGGGAGCAGGGCCCAGGGCAGGAGTGTGCAGGGGTGGGTCTCTGCCCTGGCACTGACATCTCCTTCTGCCCCAGATCACACGGATGGAGTACGTCCACACCAAAAGCCTGATCTACAGAGATGTCAAGCCAGAGAACTTCCTGGTGGGGCGGCCGGGCAGCAAGCGGCAGCACACCATCCACATCATTGATTTTGGCCTGGCCAAAGAGTATATTGACCCCGAGACCAAAAAACACATCCCCTACCGAGAGCACAAGAGCCTGACAGGGACAGCGCGCTACATGAGCATCAACACCCACCTGGGGAAAGGTGTGTGGGCACAGGCAGCCAGCCCTGCCTCCTGCCTGAAGGCAGGGACTGCAGGGCAGGGGTGCCAGAGGTGGGGTTGGGGACAAGCTGCCTCTCCTGCTCTTCAGGGTGCTGGCAGGACACATGGGGTGCTGCAGGATTTGGGGTGGGGACAGGGACAGTGGCTTTAGTGGGAACTGACCCATGTCTCTTTTTCTCTGTACAGAACAAAGCCGCAGGGATGACCTGGAAGCATTAGGGCACATGTTTATGTACTTCCTCCGTGGGAGCCTTCCTTGGCAAGGCCTCAAGGTAACTGCTAGCTCCTGCTGCCCCTGAGCATGGCTTCCTGTGGGTCTGGCTCTGCCCTGGCATGGGGAGGGAGAAGGCCCTTGGGATGTTGGAGGATTGGCATCCCACCTGAGCTCCATGCCAGGCTCGTGCAGTGCTGAGCAGCTGCAGGTCTCCCTGTGTCCCCCCAGCTGCTCTCACAGCGGCTGTCCTGGGAACCCTGGGGTTTGTCCTCCAGACCTGCCCAGGGAAGGAGTTTCCTGGTAAGGAGTTACCTGGGAAAGGGGGCCCAAGAATTCGTACATGATGAGACAGCACCCAGTGCCTTCCCCTGCCCGGGGCAATGCCTGTGCTGACCCCTCTTGTCCTTGCCAGGCCGACACACTAAAGGAGAGGTACCAGAAGATTGGTGACACCAAAAGAGCCACCCCGGTGGAGGTGCTCTGTGAGAACTTCCCAGGTGAGAGCAGTGCCCAGCCCAGCCCCCAGCCCCGAGCCCCCTGTCCCCTGTCCCCCTGAGCCCCGGTGTCCCCACAGAGGAGATGGCCACGTACCTGCGCTACGTGCGGCGGCTGGATTTCTTTGAGAAGCCCGACTACGACTACCTGAGGAAGCTCTTCACAGACTTGTTCGAGAGGAACGGTTACGTGTTCGACTACGAATATGACTGGGCAGGGAAACCTCTGGTGAGTGCTGAGGGCCTGGGGGCAGAGGGTGAGGCACCCCAGGGAGCAGGGGCAGCGGGGTTGGTGGCAGCAGCCAGGGAGGATGTGGCTCTCAGCCATCCCTGCCCCACACTGTGTCCAGGGGATCAGCTCCACCCTCCTCACCAGTCACCAGCTCCAGGGCTGTGACACGGGAATTTGAAGTTCCTCGAACCAAGGGGACCCCAGCAGCCAAGCTGGCACCTCACTTTCTGCCATGGGTGCATTCCTTGTGCTTGCTGCAGCCAGATACCAAGCACGGCACTGCTGGGGCAGGGGCAGTGATCAGGCCCCGGTTGTGGAGGGTTTTGCATGTTTGGCCGGAGGTTGGATGTGGCTGTGGGGTGTTGGGAGGGTTCTGTGCTGCACTGACATTGTCCTTTGTGTCCCCAGCCCACCCCCATTGGCACGATGCACAGCGAGGTGCAGGTGCAGCCCCCGAACAGAGACAAAGCACAGCCAAACACCAAACACCAGGTGAGCAACACAACAGCCCAGCCTGGCTGGGGCATGGGGCCATGGGCATGGGCAGCTTGGGCTCCAGCTCCAGGGACATGGAGCCCAGCAGGGATGGTGGCAGGGACTCAAGCGTCATTTTCCCTCAGTGCAGTTCCCTCCCACAGCTCTGGGTCTGTGGCTCACCAGGGACCCAGGGCAATGTCCCTGTGGCCTGGCAGAAGAGGGAGGAAGTACTGGGGGGGCTTGACTGGGCAGTGCCAGGCCTGGACATCAGCTGGTGAGGGGCAGGGTCCAGCCTGGGGTGTGGGAGAGGGCTTGGTGCAGGCTGAGCCACTTCTGCTAAGGACAGTGTCCCCATGGGGTGACTCGCTACTCTGCTTGTGATGCCCTTCCATGGATGGAACAGTGATGTGGGACAAGGGAGGGCAGGATTGGTGGGGCAGCTTGGCAGCATTTTTCCCATGCTGGGGCTGCCTTTGTTTTGGGAATGGGCAGAGCACAGGGAGCCAAGCCTGGGGCAGAGATCAGGCAGAGTTGTGTGGGAAAAGCTGCTCAGAACTGCTCCAGTGCTGTGGCCTTTCCTGCCCTGGTGCAGGACACGTGTTTCTGTCACCAAGAGCAAACTTCACGTGTTTCCCAGCAGTCCTGTACAAACCCTTGTCCCCCCAAACCTCCTTGGGGGCAGAGCACCTGCAAAGGGGCTGGAGCTGGGAGTGCAGCACCGTTCTCCCCAGGCTGCTCCTGCCCAGTGCAGGGAGCCTGGCACTGCCCTGGCTCTCACTACCAGCGCTTCCTTAGGGAGAGGGAAACATCTTCAAATCACTTCTGGCTCATTTCTGGGAACTCGCTCCCAGTAAGGTCTGCTCTCTGTCCTCAGCACCAGGGAAAGGCCATGTTGGACATCCTTTCTCCAGAGCAGGGGGAAAAGCAAAGCACAGAGCTCCCGGAGCACGGGAGCAGTGTCCAGCCTGGGGACACAGGTGTCCTCGCAGCTGTGGAGCCGTGCCATGCTCCCCAGGGGAGGGTTTGGCTGTGGGACAGCCGAGCCCTGGAGGAGCAGCCCAGCTCGTGCCACACAGGCCCTGCCAAGCTCTGCGTCGTCCTGGGATAACGGCTTCACCTGGGCCTGGCTGCAGCTCCAGCTCTGCTGCCCCAGCCCGCTCCCAAACACGGCCCCCAGCCCTGCTGGAGCTGGCCCTGCTCCATGGGGTGGCCCTGTGTGGGGCTGGCCGTGGGGATGTGTGTGTAGGTGGCAGGGGGACACAGTCCCCCGTTGTCACCGCAGGGACTGTTCTGGGAGCCGCCAGGACGGTGCTGCACGGGTGCCCTCTGCAATCACCAACTAGAGCTGCTCCGGTCATGTTTTTGCTTTTGCATGTCTTATTTTCTCGACTCCCTTTGCCACTTCCCCGCCCCTTCCCTCCACTTTTCCCTTCTCTTCCCCATTCTCCCTCTTTTCTTTTGTTTCTTTTCGTTCTGTTCCTCCTGCCTGTCGCGAGCAGCCGCCCGAGGGGACGGAGTTGTGGGATCCTCAGGCCGGTGGGCAGCCTGCCGAGGAGCCTTTGGGAGCTCACCTGGCAGCCGGCAGGCTCGGGGGGTCCGTCCAGGTACATGAAACCACTGGGGCAGGGGCGGGCACGGGTGGGAGCGGAGCCACCCT